ACACACACACACACACACACACACACACACACACACACACACACACACAAATGGTCTCCATCATTGTAGAGGATATTACATTGACTTGCATTAATTTCCTGGAGACTTATCCTTACTTTAATCAAAACGTGCTTGCCTAACCCTTACATTCACTATTAAATTTCATTATGACAACATGCTTTTTGTGCCCAACCACGTCACTGTGTAAACGGACTTGTGTTCCCACAACATGAGTAATTCAAATACGGAGACAACACAGCACACACGGTTAAAACTGGGGTCAGATTATGTGCTTGGTGAGACATAGAGAATTAAGTTCACTTTTGAGGTTGAATGGTTAATATGGGTCGGGAGTGATAATCTGATTAAAATGCAACAACACAGTGTGCAGACTGACTGCAGACAGTGACATGGTGGTGTGGGTGTGGGGCTGGGGTTTGTCGGGTTGACTGTCTGACAATGTCGGCAAACTCTCTTGTTTATCAGATGAGACAAAGGCCAAACTCTTAATACTGAATTTTGCATATATTGTTTTAACTGGCAGCATGAAACGTGTCTCTTTACAGACTACTAAAATGTACTGGGCCCAGTTGTTGACATACCATACTGCAAGGAGGTTATATTCAAGTAAAGTCTGACCAATGTTTTCTTAAAATACTCTTTTTTTTTCTTTTTTTTTTAAATTCTTATTATAACATTTAGAAGTTTACACACACAGCTTTTCTTCCTTTGTAACGCATGCAGCCATAAGGAGTGGGAATTGTTAACATACAGTTAAACCAGTTGTTGCTGATGGGCAGGGTGTCAAGGAAACAAGCTGCATAGTGCTAGTTGTCACATTAACATCTTACCCACAACAACCCCTGCTCACAGAGTAACATCAAGTAACTAGAAACCATTTCACCGCTAAGCTGACCTTCTACACAGAAACTAAGCTTATTGGAGCAAAAGTCTAAAAGCTTGTTTTGATTTATTTTTTGCCCTTTAAATTTAAGTAGAGAATGTAAATTGTATAGTATATATGCAATATATATACAGTTATATATATATATATATATATATATACACACACACACACATGAATATACACACATAGACACAGAAGTTGTCTCATTATCATTTTGTATTTGGTTCAGTTTGGCTCTCTTCCCTGAGACATGTGCCCTTGTTTGATTGCTTCTTGATAATCCTCTGATAAAGTGTTTGTTGATCAAGAGCTGTTCACTCTGTAATCTTTAAATCCACAGCTAATTAGAGTACAATCTAAGCAGATAATCTAATCTGTTCTCCACAGACATCTAGTGACATACAGCAGGGACAAGAAAAAAGACCAACTAAAACTAAAAGTTAGGAAGGAATGTCTGTGAATTTGTGAATGCATTTTGTGGTTAAATATTTAGAGAGAAGCTACTTTTTCTTGGCGTTTTGTGAAAGAATAAATCTAAAATTCGTTGTTCATATCCCCCCTCATGTGATGTACTTGATGTGTTTCTCCACTGAGTTTGTGTGATCACTTAATTGTGAAACATCCGATTTTCACCCAGGTGTCATCTACTTACCTGAATCAGTGTTCCAGGAAAAATCACAGACTTCTCTGATCCTCTTCCTCTGATGGCCACCCCTCCCCACGTTGTTAGCATTCAACTGGGTCTATGAACAAAACAGTTTTTTCACAGTGTTCGTAACACCAGTGATGATCAAGATCATGTTTAACAGTGCGCTGGAAAAAAAACAAACCTTTATTGCTTTTCATCAACAGTGTTGCACATTTCAATGATTTAATGATGTGTTCTCCCTCTAAGCAGGCCTGTGAGTTGGAAAGAAAAACGCTGTTGAAATACCAGAGGACAGTCACAAGGTGAGCCTCTCCAAATTACTATAGGTTTCAGACAAAGTCCCCTACCTGGGACATGTGATCAGATTAGATAGTAACGCACTCCCTCCAAAAAAGAATTGCAGCAATTCAATCCATTCCAAAGTCACAAAGAAATTTTCTAGGTATAATGTCATTTTGCTGCCAGTGGACACCCGGGTATGCTGTGCGAGAGGCTGCACTATCAGCAGTGATACATGGGAGGGGAGTGACTGCACACTGACAAACGATAGTGGACTGATGACACAAACAAAGCGTTGACTGACTACAGAGTGTGCCAACTGTAGGATTACCATTCAAGCAGACAGTGGATGAATAGGGTGGATGCATGTTTTGTTGCAGCACTGAGGAATGACAAAGACCAGCAGGCCTTCCTCTAACTGCAAGCAGTTGCACCAGCTGAAAAGGCAGTTATAGCATCACATCACCTTGTTGGCCATTCAGCGTACATAACAGGAGAGGCACGAGTGATAAACCATATCATCCTGAACATTTGTTTTCCTCATTATGCTAAATTGAAACCTGGGAAATACCATTTGTCAAAGGAGGGATGGTTTACAAATGGATTCCAAATTTGCTCTCAAAAATTATTTGCAACTAACAAACTAGCTTTTTGATCATCTACAAATAGATCTTAGCTTTGAAACAGTAGGATAAAGTCACCCTTCCACCACTGGCCCTTTGAGAAACCTTA